AGGACACAAATTGAGGTTTTCGCCCCTCCTGTGGGCCAAGGTTACAGCTCCTACTGACCCCTCAGCAGCCCACAGACAAGAGGAGCCATACTTGTGAATGCTCCAGGGACTGTTCAGCAGCAAACAGCCAACACGGGAAGCTGCCAGCTACCTGCAGCTGGAGCCAGAGGCTGCTTGTAGGTGTCAGCATTGGCTGCTTGCCTCACTCATGGTATATTAACAAAGTCTCTTTTGAGTTGTCGTTTCTCTGAGGGCCTGATAACACAAAATGCTTTTTCAGAAATTCATCGGAGGATCAAGAGACTGAAGCCTGCTCGGATGAAGATGAGGTCAGAAGCCTAACACTGAAATATTTAACTTTGTCCTGTGTCACGTATTGACATTACTGATTTCCGTCACCTTCTAACCATTTTTTGTGGGGTTGAGGTCTTACCATTGCCAATAACTATATATTTATACATGTATGAATATTCATGGTTTTGCAAGCCATATTTTAAATATTTTGGCTTAGCTTTTCTCCTCTCTTTTCCAAAATCCTACCATCATTTCAAAGCTCCCCACCCTGCAACAAGATATGATCACAGTAGGAGGCGTTGAGGTTAATGAAGTTTTCACTATATCCAAAAGGGAAGATTTCTCACTCAAATGTTTGCAACACTTCTTGCTCCCCAAAATGCAACCTGAAATGAGCCTTACCACCTGCTTTTCTTGAGTTCACCACATTGGCTGCTGAGGACAAATCTCACTGCCCTTGTCTGTAAGGAGGCAAAGCTTCAGAAAAAGGCTTTGCCCTGGAGGTTACAGGAGTGAAAAAAATAAAATAAATCAGCAGGTGCAAAACACTCACCTTTCAGCACCCACAGCCACTGCCATAAGAAACCAGTGAGCCATTCTGCTGCATGACAGAACTTCTTTAAACTAGGCCAGGGTCTGCTCAGTAATATCCCCTAAGTAAGCACATTTAATTGGGGTCACATAGCAGTGATTGGGGGCCGTGCCTGACTGTCCTGCTGGGGGAAAGCCACAAATAACTCCAGTAAGCAAAGGCACCAGAGGGCATTTCCCTCGTTCCTCTCACCCAGATTTATGTTTTCATCTGGAATAGAGAGAAAAGGGTCACAAAAACATTTTATTTTGATATTGAACGGTTTCTACGTTCCAAAAACCATGGAAACGTCTCTTTCTGAGAGTGAGCTACAAATTACATGTTATTTAGGCAACATTTCCGTAGAAAAATACTTTTTTCAATACTGACCAATGCTGTTAAATAACATAGGCAAGCTTTAGGGCACCTTCTTCAAATCAAAGCAGCAGAACAAGGATGAGCTGAGGACAAAGCCTCCAGGTTTACATAGTTATGTTTATGTGGGCAGAGAAAGGACAGCTGGGATCAGGAGCACAGGCCCTTACCTTGCGTATAGCCTTACTGCAACACTACACAAGCAGTTATTTATAAATATCACACATTTTCTGTTCCAGGAGCCTGAGCTGTATTTTACTGACCCCCAACAACTGCTGTCTATTTTAACGGAAATGGAGGAACAGAATTTCTCCTACCTCTGTAATTTCCAGGAGACAGAGAAAGAAATGAATGAGTTTCAACACATCTTCATCGACACACAAAAAAGGAAGTGAGTGTGACCCTGTGGTGAGTGGTGGGAGGGGGGTCCCTAAGCCCCAACTTTCAAACAGTCCTTTGTGTTGGAAGGGTCCCTTAAAGGCCATCTGTTCCAACTCCCCTGCAATGAACAGGGACACCCACAGCTCCATCAGGTGCTCAGAGCCCATCCAGCCTGACCTCGGCTGTCTGCAGGGATGGGGCACCACCACCTCTCTGGGCAGCCTGTGCCAGTGCCTCGCCACATTTATTGTGAAGAATTTCTTCCCTATCAGATGCAGTGTACTCACACCTTGGTGCACAGCCCTGAAGGCACAGGCTGGGGAGCTGATGCGTGTAGCATTGGGGGCTGTAAGCCAGGAAGGATGGTGTAATTCTTCTAAAGGAAGATCAAAGGCAGAAACAAGGCTCATCCTGAGAGATCCAGACCAGTGCCTGTTTTGACTCAAACCCTTCCTAAAGGAAGGCATCAGACCCAAGTGTGATTGCAGATGGCAGGTAGACACACCTTTTCTCATTTGAAGTGCCTCTCATTTGAAGTGAGTGCTTTTAAATGGAATCTACTTCTCACGCTGACTCGTCACAAAAACTACAGCATTACTTAGCTGTGCTCTTCCTCCCCCCCCCCCCCCCCCAGTAACTGCTATCCCGGGAAAACCCAATCTGCTCTCCGAGCCGAGGTGCAAGTCGCCCAGAAATGGAGTGTAGTGATGCTTCCACCTACCGGCAGCAGCGGGGACAGCCTGGGTGGAAGCAGCAGAGGAACCAGATGTTTTGAGAATAATTTTCCAAACAGCTCCTCTCTCTTCTGGCCCAGGGATCGGGAGAGAACGCAGCAGAAGGAAGTTTTGCTCACCTTGAAATCCACTGTCACCAAATTGGAAGAGAGAGCAGCAGACCTGAAGCTCAGAGTTGAAGACTTTTCCTCAGAACGTGAAGCTGATGTCCAGGTACACCCCAAGGTGGAGGTAAAGTGGGACAGCACAGCCATGAGCTGCTCCTCCAGCCATAGCCACCCATCCCAGGCACTGCTAAGCAAACTGAGAAGCAAGCAATCAAGTTCTAAGAGAAAGCATTCTGGTTTCCTTCTCTATTCTTTTAGAGGGATATAGTGGTTCTAACCAGGCAGGATCCAACTGGTGCATCTCACTGTATCTCCTCTTTTCTCTAGGATAAAATGCTTGCAAGCTTGAGAAAAAAAGTGCAGGAGATCTATGGTCAATGCATTGGAGAAAGCAGGGAAGGCATGGAGACAGTGGAGATGCTGGCAGCAATAGAAAAAAAGCTCATTGAGTTACTGGACAACCTGGAAAGAATTCCACCTGCAAAGATAGCAGAGATTGAAAAAGCCAAGAAAAAAGAACAGAGAATGAGGTAAGACAAGAACTCCTAGAAATGAGGCCTCTATTTTTAACTACTGACAATCAAAATCAAAGCCCCTGAAATAGCCGAATTTGTCAGATCAACCTAGGAAACATTAACAGTAATCTGAAAGCCCGGGGGACCCACATCCCAATTTAGCCCTCTGATAATTTCACACTCCCAGTGCTTGCAGCTCGATCAGCAAGCAGCAGCCCAGAGCTGCATTAGGAGAGGCCAGGAAAGTGCCTGTATTGAACTGATTGAACAAAAAATGACTCCTCTGTTTAAGAATATAGGGCACCTGTAAGCAATGCCGGCATTCAAATGTTTCTTCTACAAATCTCTGCAGTTTAAATTGTGCTTCTTAATTAAAACAGGAGTCAATTAACACAACAAATTTATGTTCCTAGACATTGCCATTGGCTGTTACACAAATGGAAGTTCCCATGCAAACAGCAAAGACATAACTGTGGAGCTGACTGTATCTGGCCATCCCTGGGTAAATCAGATTCATTGAAGCAAAGTAGTTTGAGAATTTAAAGCCAAAGTGACATTTTCCTTGTACTTCTTTCTCTGAGTCTTTCTTTGCCTTTATGGTAGAAAGGATGTGACACTTCCTCCCTATGTTCTGTGAATGAATTTGTACTCTTCACTTACAAAAGAAATGTGGCCCTGGAGACACCCAAGGTCAGGCTGGACAGGCTCTAAGCACCTGATGGAGCTGTGGATGTCCCTGTTCATTGCAAGGAGTTGGACTAATGACCTTTAAGGGTCCCTTCCAATTAAAATGATTCTGTGATTTGATGAAGCAAGACACACTTTTTCTGCTCTGGGGATGGAACAGAAGAATCTGTGAAGGAATCTGACCAAACCTTGGCCCCGGCCTGCCTCCAAAAAAGAGTAACAAAACAAAAACCTTCAAAGAGCATTTAAAACCCAGCATCATCTATATCCAAATCCCTGCATTCCAGTGGTCTTACACTGTTAGAAAAGGAATGGGTCAAAAGCATATTTGTATATCTGTGCACATTCCAACCTCCTTTTTTTGCTCCCTTCAAAAGGCTGAGAGAGGAAAAGGAACAACAGCAGAAGCAGCTGCAGGAGGAGAAACTGCAACGGGCCCTGGAGAGAGCACAGGCAATCATACAGAAAAAGGTAAGTGCAGCGATCCATAGGAACACACCTCATCTCTGCAGCCCACCTCAGGGAAGACAAGGCACCCAAACCCAGCCATTAAATGGGGGAGGAACTCGACCCTGCCAGGAAAACAGCTAGCAAGGAGCACGATCCCAGCAGCAAGAGAACACTACAGCACACGTGGTTCATGGTGCTGTTTTAACAAACATGTGCTGCCTCTTTCTCTGCAGACTGGCAGAAGGCTGATGTTCCGTTCCAGCCCACCTGCCAGGAAGGAAAAGAAAAAGCACAACCAAGAACAAAGGGATAAGGAGAAAGAAGAAATACTGTACTATTTTACCTGACAGCACAGCTTTTACTACTTAACGTAGGGTTGATAGCACTCTAGAAAAAGGTTTCTGTAGCTCCAGCCTGAGCTTAAGCTATTTGCAGTGTGAGAACATCATGAACTTCACAAAACTCCTCCTACCTCTGCAAGACCCAAAGGAAAGGAGCGTCAGGCAACCACTCATTGTTTTTCTTAACTAAGGAAATAAAATAAATGCTCTTAATTTGCTTCTTTGGTTCCTGCTAGCAATGCTTTTCTCATTCAGTTGTTGATGCAAATAGCTCTATCCCTAAAAACCTGACCAATGTCCTGGGTAACAATTTTGCCATGGCCCAACTAAACCAAGCACTTACCATTTATCATAACCACAGATCAGGTGAACAGCTATAAAATGAAGTCTCTGCCTTAATCTGAAGGATGGATTGGTGGACTCCACTCTGCTACTGTGAAGATACAAAGGAGGAAAAAACCAAACAAGCTCTACAGAAACAAAGCCGCTGACCATTAACTTTATGTCAGGTGCAACCATATAAAGAACAATACCCAGTGACAAGCTGACCATAAAAAAAAAGCTTTATTAACCCTTTTGCACCAGTAGTTCTTCAGGCATCCATTGCCAGCAATGGACTTCAAGCCAAGTGATCCATTTGTCGGCCCCAAGAGGTTAGCACTTTACATTCATTTACAAAGCTGAGTGAGGTACATTTTCAGAAGTAGAAAGATTAAGTTGCAAGTCCCATAAAAAGATGGAGTGTTCCTTGGCCACTGTATTAGATTAAGAACTGGTATGGTCCTTGAGAACAGAATAACACAGGCGTTGGCAGCTTGAGGAGTCTCAGCTTTTAGAGATGGAGCACGGTGAGCACTGAGCAAGAATCACTTGTCCCTTCAGCATGATTCCTCCTCAACCTTCCTACCTTTCAGGAGAGGATTCTATGTTGTGGTCACAACCATCAAGTAAATGATTTCCCCTACCAGCGAGTTTGGTTTGGAAACCCCACCTGAGAGGGTAACAAGAATCCCTGGGCATAAGCTGTAAACTCAGGATGAAAGGAACAGAGACACCTCAGTGCTCAGATACTTAAACAAAAGATAGAAAAATAAAACTGGTTCAACCAGAGGATAAAATACTGTCCAGGAATTGGGATCTGAAGTTGGATGTAACCTGCAAACTTTTTTTTTTTTTTTTTCCCCCATTAAGTCATCAACCAAAAAAAGCATTCTTCTGGACACATACATAGTTCAAAAAGGCACAGGAAGTAAAAGCTTTTCTGAATGACCTCGTGAATTCAACATCAGTATAACTGTCAAATAAATATGTGCAAGATTAGAAAGATCACAATATTTTTCTGCATGACATACCTTATTCTGTAAAAAAAACAGACACATGTGCACACACACCTCATTGAGAATAAAAAAAACCATTACATCACCGTTCTATCAAATTCCTATACGTCATTTTATAGGCATTTAGTACACCACCATGAGAAACCTTTAAATTACTACCTCAAAATGTAACCAAAGGCTGTTTTTAATTTCCCCCCTATACAATTCTATACTTACTTAGGTGTTTGCAGTCCAGATAAGTTCAGTATGTACAACCTCTTCCACTGCCCTCCAGTAGAAATAGCAGTTTTTCAGCGAGGCAGGTCTTACTAACAGCTCTTTTTCCCCTCCCATGAAATTCCAACAACTGCATATTCTGTAAACCAGCCGAAAACCCCACATGCATGTGATACTCTGGGATATCAGTAAAGAACAAGTGTTGACAGAGTTAAAAAATAATAACAATAAAATATATAAAAAATAAGAAGGTAGTGGCCAGTTTACAAGCAACCTGGCAGCAGTTCGTAGATGAGACATAATCAAGGTGCTTAATTTATGTGACTGTCAACATCCCTCCCAAAAAAGGGAACACAAAGATAAAAACCAACCTCTCTCGACACCTGGAGTCTTAGCTCATCACTTACAGTGAGTACAATTCTATTGCGTTTCTCTTTCAAGTTTTGCTGGAAGAATTCAGCAGATTATTTGGGATGAGGGAACAAGGAAAGGGAGAAACTCAACATGAGCTACAAACTGATTCACAGCTAAGTTAATATGTAGAATCTAGCTTGCTAAAACAAAAACTTTAGAACATTTCATTTTCATGGTGTAGGGCATCAGCTTTGTTACATGTGACACTTGATTCCAGTTTTCTGCCAAAACACGGGGGCCAGAACAATCTGTGTGCACGTGTGTGCATGTAAAATATCTGTAAATTTTAGGAAAGTTTGAGCTGTCATAGGCAGGATTATTAATTTCTGTTAGCTGCAGAATACTTGCTTTCCTCTGAAAACAGTAAATATTACCTCAGTTTGAAGTTTAATCGAGTACTTCTCCCTGAAACAACACTGTACAGCAGCCTGCGCTGGGCTGCGACCGCTAGGCAGCTGGGTTATACTACACAGGCACATCAAGTAGGATTTACACTTGTTAAGAAAACCTTTCAGCTGTAACTGCCTTTAGCAAATTGCAAAAAGCACAACCATAATCCAGTACTCCTAGTTTTCCTATTCTCCTCAGAAGAAGACCCACAGAGTTATCTTATTTTGTCGAGACATGATTGCTCAATGGGCTTTCAAGTAACTGTCCTTAATAATGGTCATTCCAGATCCTGTAAGTTTATTGTGCTTCCAGTGAACTGAGAGTTATCAGAACCTGCATCGTCTTCAGCAGAATTGTGTGGTTCCTGTTGAAGCAAAAAACAAAAACAGCAGAGAAGTTCAGTACTTTCACCTCTTAATGCTTATCAGTAAGAACATCCTGACATTAACCCAAGATCAGAGAAATGCTCTGAATTGCTTGAATTGTTCCAACGCTTTCCTACTCTGGTGACCCACTCAGACACCGCTTCTCTGTTTTCTTTTCATCTAACTGCCATTCCCATGTAGACACCTCTCTGACATCTAGGATCAAGATTTTGTTGTCTCACTTCCCATCCTTCCTGCAGACCATTACACACATATCAGTTCTGATACTCAATCTTGACCTGCGCAGTATCTACAGGATAGATAAGGATAATAAGGACGGGACACTCCAATAATAAATGAGTAACATTTTGTTATTCATTACCCACTAACAGAGGTACAAAAACAACCACCTGTGACATGTCAAAGGTTGGTAACACACACAAGATAACTCTTGCAGTACACTTCTCTACTTCCTGCAATTGAATCTGAACTCCTCATAGTAAACAAGGTGTTTCCATTACGCAGAACATCGGTGTTTAGAATGAACTATTCACTTTTCAAGCAAGGCCATAAAACCCAGTGGCTCTGATATGCTGTACCTGAAGTATGTGAACAGGTAAATCCACCGTAAGCTGAGAATGTGATGAGGAGGACTGAGAGCTCAGCTGAAAGGGCAAATCTCCCTCTCCTGAGGGATCATCCTGTGAAGGCAGAAATGTGATGCTATTAGAAGACTCCGAAGCATCTCAGAACAATAAATTCCACTCAGCCACAGAGTCTTAAAGAATTGATAAAGCCACTGCACTGTACAAGGCCTACATCCACAAAGATAAGAGAAATCCTAACTACCACTTAAATTCAAACCTTATTCAGTACACAACCTATTGTCCCTATTATAATCAACTTGGAAAATTGTCAAGATCTAAAAGGGAAGGAATGGTTCACCTTCCATTATATTTAAGGCTCAGACATAAGCTACAAGTTTCACCGTGCTACGTGAAGCTGCTACTTAACAGAAAAGTTGCATTTACACCCATCAGAAAGAGACAAAGCATTCCCCCCATTGCTTCTTATGTATCAAATCTTGTTAGGAATAAAGCAGAAAGAACCTATCATCTCTCTGGATACTACACAGATATGCACCAGGCTAAAAGTGTACTATTCAAAATACTCCACTAATCAGTCCACACAGATTATTAGGTGCTTTTAGACAGAGAAATCTTAATTTTTATTTCAGCTGTTAAGAAGAAAATCAGTTTCAGCTGAAACTTCATGTTGTGGGAACCTTCACATCATCCTTATTAACTTTGTATATGGGAGAGATGGAGCAATGTAAGACATTCAGTGAAAAGAGGGAACAAGAATAGAGCACACACATTCTCAGCAAAGACTGGAAGAAAAAGTTGCGCTCAGGAAGATGAACAGAATGCTCCCCCCTGCAGTTACAGCGCCCACTGTATGGTCCAGGCTGGACTGAAAATATTAGCACTAACAAAATAAAAACATCTATTTCCACAGCCCATTGGTTCTAGTCCCAGCAGTTGCATGATTGAATCAGCTGTTTTCAGGCTTTTCCAGACCTCTCTAAAGCCACCTTACTTATAAACTTCCCATGAGAGTGTGGGCAAGTGCCCCAACGAACAGAGCACACACTGAGGACCTCCGATTTCCATCTAGAGGAGTACACGTTTAGATTCTTCTACAGATGCTCCAGTTAGAATGATAAGGTAAAGATGTTTCCTCTCCTCAGTTCTCACCTGAAGAAGCTGAATTTGCACATACTGTGCTCCCGTTGCAGGGTCCCTTATCGTCAGCCCTCCATTCGGCAGAACAACGCTGCCACCCAGCCGACCACTGGGAGCGGACGATGAGAAATTGGTGGGGCTTACTTTACCACCCTTGCTTTTCCTCTGACCAGAGCCAGTTGTCCCTTAAAAAATAAAAAAGTTTAATATTTAGGTGGTCAGAAGCAATTTGCCAAAGTTTCTTGCTCGTGTTTTTCAATTCTATGCAGTCAGTTTACCCTGCACCACCAATCACACGACACGGGAAATGCATGGAACAGTACAGTGTAATTAAGCACCATCTGACAGCAAAAAGGCCACAGCAATCAGTCACTGAACTCCACGTGCTGACTGAGCAGCTATTTTACATGAATGGCATAGAACCACACCACAAACCACTAAGCTTAGTGGTTTGGTTTCTCCCCTCTGGTAGCACAGAAATGCTGACACGTTTGCACAGCTACAGAAAGGAATCGGGAAATGAAATTGCATTTTCCATTTTTTATTTTTCTGTTTATTTCCTGAAAAGTTATGTACATCATTTTTTTCAAATCATAAAAATAATAATAATAAATCATAGTGAAGCTCATCTACTTCCAGAAATATGAAGGACAGGCTGAACCAGCTTTACACAGCTAGCTGAAAGCCACCAAGGTAATAAAAAACCAACTTAATGGATAAAATCCTGTCATCTGTTTGTCTGATTTTTAATCTAAGTAAATAAAAGGCTCAGATAACTTCATTTTAAAAACAAACTTCAATCTACGGTGCTTATGTAGCCTAGCTAATGAGAAATACAAGACTTGTGATCACTGTGAGAATCACATCATGGCATTAAGGCAACAGCAGCTGGTGAAGGCTGACTACCAGCAGACTAGAGAAAGGAAATAGGGATGTTGTGAGACCACTTTAGAAACAGGGGCAGATTTAGTACAATCATCTGTGTAAACAAATGTCCCAACACTGGGCACATGCACGCATTTTATGATACAAGCACACTTAGCACTAAGCTTCATAAAGCAGCTCTCTATCTGCATGATGTCTCACTGAACCAGACAACATGAACAGATACAGATTATATAATGAACAGCATGTCACGGTGCTCAATGCAGAACTGGTCACTTCACTTACCTTAACACCTTCCCTTTTACAGATACAAGAGGCAGTGAGAACTAAACCATATATAAAACAGATTTTCCATCACAGCACCAAGGGGCAGATGTAATTCAGACACCTGAGATTGTCTCCCAGCACAGTGAGCCACCAATCACATCCCATCTGACAAATCCACATCGGACAGCTTTTACTTTTTAAGAGAAAGGCAACACATCTGAAATGGTGACCTAAAATATCACCCTGCTCTCTACAAAGCTTCTGTGTAACGGAGAGTTTTGAGTATTTCTAGATAACTGAAGAAATAAATACGAAATAATTCCTTAATGCTGCATAGACATTGTTACTATGCAAAAAAAGAAGCAAAGCAAATCCTGCTGATCTCTTCATTATCTATACAGAAGAGAACTCACAAGGTACAATCAAAAGCATGAACAATGGAAAGTAAAAAATCTTCTTTTGGTTGCTTTAATAACAAAAATCAAAAGCAGATGAAGGGACAGAGGGATATTACCTTTATAACAACCACGGAACATAAGGCAAAGATTTCTTTGCAAGCTTACTGTGGAACTGGTGTTCCACGCTTAACAGATGGCATACCGTGTGCATAATTATTTTAACTACCAATAAATGGGTATGGTACTTAAAAGTGTACTCAGATACCTGTTCCTATTTCACTGCCAAACCCTTTTATAATTGTTTTAGCACATGTAACGCAATGTCTTCTCACCTGTGCTGCTCCCATTCCCTTTTTGTTTTCTCTTCTTGGCCAGCTGAATGGCTCTGTAGTCTGTTCTCGCAGACCCACTGCTCTCCTAAGTTTAAAAGAAAAAAGAAGAGAAAAAAAAAAAAAAAAAAAAAAAAGAAAAAAAGCCAAGAAATGCAAATATTTTGAATGCAAGAAAAAGCCAAGACAATGAAACCATACTGATGAGTTCCCAGTAGTGGTTATCTTATATTGCAAATACTGAACTCTATATTCCCAAACTCTTCTGATTAGTTTCCATGAGTTCCCTGTATTTAATATCTGGAGTTCAACACAAAAGGAAATTATCTTCATAATTATAAGCATTCATATTTTAATAGGGTAAACACGGCAATAGAAGGAACACTTCATGCTGCAAACAAACAGGCCTCCAACAACATGATAAAGCAAAGAGGGAAGAGTATTTGAAACAGCTACGGGAATGAAGGCTGAGGAGAAAACGTTTCAGTTTCTCTCCCAGTGCAAAATCTTTCCCTGTATGTAAGTAACGTGAGATACCACATCTTCTCAGCCTTGGGTTTTCTTGCAAATCCCATTTCATCCTCAGATAAATGGATGGTTGCTTTCTAAAACCCCTACTCTAAAAAGCCTTCATTTCACTCTCCCCACCACAATTTCAATTTTTCTTAAACTTTCTTCCAAATTTTCTCATCACCACACTGCAGCTACTTCTGACAACACACTGATCAATGCCACATTCTACAACCTTCATCAAAAACCAGCCAAAGCACATCACCTGCAGAAACCAAAAGAAAAGCCTGCCTGGAAGGTGTGAGTAGCAGTGGATATCCCCAAATTCAGGGCGTCTCAGTCATCTAAGGGTAAATGAATATAGCTACTGCGTACCAAAAACGAGCTGCCAGTCATTGTGCTAAGATCCATTTCTTTCTGAGCGCTGTAGCTTCCTGGAGGGTTGGAGAAAACAAACTGAGTCACTACTTTGCTGCCCTCTTGCTGACCAACAACATCCGAGCTGGGAAGCAAATTCCGTTCCATTTTAGTTGGTGTCAGTAACTCAGGCACATTGGTACCACCAAGGCTGCTAGAAGGAGTCAAAGTGGCTGTGTCAATTGTTAAATTATTGCTGGATGTCAAACCGTGCACATCCTGACTGGGATTCCTCACTGACAACGACGCCAGCGAACCCAAGGCTTCAGCGTTGACAGTCTGTACATCATCCAAATTTAAAGTGCTTTGCTGTAGAACGGTTGTCCCAGTTCCCAGCAAGAGAGAACTGTCCAGGCTCTGCGGCATATCGCTGCTGGCCACCAGTATCAAGGGATCCACTGCCTGGCTTAAAGAACTGCTACTGACAGGCAGGTTTCCTCCAAGAGTTGAGCCTACTGAGGCAACATCTATGGTGACGATTCCAGAGTTCACTAGCGCCATGTCTGTTGAGATTCCCGAATTGTTGCTGGACACGTTGGAGAATAGGGAAACGAGGTCTATGTTGCTGAGGTCGCTGTGTCCTGGACTGGTGAGCTCACTGCTGGGTGTGAGGGAGCTGGTTGCTTCGAGCTGCGTCAGGAGATCTGCAATGGAATACAGTTTGGACATTTTTAATCACTGGGACAAAGAAAGGAGGAAAGAGTTTGACTTACCATGAGAAGGAGTTGTGAAAATTTAAAAGAAATCCAGTAGAGTATTACCCGTTCTTAGGGAACCCAATGACAGTAAAACATGCAACAGCCCACTAAAAATTCAACTTTTTGGGGAGGGTTTGGTTATAAATCAGAGCTTTCATCAGACACTGAGAATGAAAGAATATGAATGATCAGAGGAAGAAGCTTTTAGAGACGTTGAGTTGGTCTGCGGCACCTCACACAGTTTGAAACAAATCCCCTACCTGGGCTGAAGTTGTGTTGTTTGACCATATGCGTCTTCATACTGTGCTTGGAAGTGAACAATTTATTACAGCTGGACACAGGGCAGCGAGTCTTTAAAGAGTCCACATCCTGAAGATGTTTTTTGGAATGAATGTACAGACTACTCCGTGCTGAGAATTTTGCACAACAGCCTGCAAGAAGATACAGATGGCTTTAAGGACTCAGCTCGTTTCAGCCTGACGTTCAGGCTTAGTGTCTCTACAAAACAAATCACAGCAGTGCTGCAGAACTCTCTGTTGGTCTGTAGCATCTGGACATACATTCAGAGGACTCAGAAGAAAGCCAAATATATGACCTCTCATTTTACATCAAGGACATCTCAGTGGATAGGACAGCTCAGCAAGCCACTTCTGACAAGAAGAAATGCTAAGTCACTCAATATATTCCTTCCCTGCTATATTATTTTAAGTGAAAATGCTTGGTGACAACTGCTGGTAAAACCATTAAAAGGAGGAACAACCACCAAGAAGAGCTGTTTTACTTTGTGAAGATGAATACTCCAGATCATACCCAACCTTCTACATTCCTGGAATACAACTGAAGTGATGGACCTTCAGTTTTATCTCTTCTGATTCTGTTAGAATTCTCCCTCTGATCCAGTAACTAGCTTGTGTTTGGGGAAAAGCACACAGCTTTCCTCTATTTACGCAGCACACACCAGTTACCAGTTAATGCAAGAGCTGAGCAGTACCTTCTACTGGGCACTCAAATGGCTTTGTACCGAGGTGGGTTATGCTGTGGCCTTTCAGGTGTTCTGCTCTTGTGAAGGATTTCCCACAGCCTTCCACCGGGCAAGTGAACCTCCTGTCATCTTCATGTTTCCTACAAACAAACAGAATCACCATCAACAAGACCACATCCACTGCTTGACTACTGGAAGGAAAAATAAAATCTAACAGAGAGGGACTTAGAATAAACAGCACAATCTGAAAATGCTACCTCTTGTGTCGCAACAGCTTGGACATGCTGGTGAAAGACCAGCCACAGCCTTCAAAGTCGCAGATAAAAGGCCTCTCACCTTAAGCAAAGAAAGGTCACATTAACAATACGACATCACACACTGGTATTTGATTAAGAAATCCCCAATGCTGCTTGAATTCAGTTATTTCAAGACTACAAGACTCAACCACCACCTCGGGTAAATCACATACAAGCAGTGATGCCCTCCCCCCTCCTCTACAGTCAGCACTTTCTTTACCTCAAGGCCACTGCACATCTCCATATGCATCACAGAGCACAGATTGTTATTAGCACATCCAATCAAAAACCTGTGTCTCAGTTTTGTGCTCTTTGCATTCAATACAGCCCATTCTACCTTTCCTTGAATGTTTTCCAAAACCTGACCTTTCTCAGTGCTCTCCTCATTTTCCCCCAGATACTTCCCCAGTACTCCACAACTACCTTGAATGTGCTCAGATAACCAGTGACAGCACTATTCAGAATGAATGACTGGAAGCTCTTTTCCTGCTTTCATGACCCACAGCTCTATGCTGATTATTACAATATGAAGAGCTTAGTTGCATCACTTCTATGACCCTTCAAAAATCAAAATGACACTTCTTAAACTGTAGAACCACGAAACCAGGAAAGCCAAGGACAGCAACAAGCACACGACAGCCCACACCATCCCTCCCACCTCTGTGCCCTGCAGCCCTTCCAACACACCAAATCCCACTGTTCACAGCCCATCCTCTATATGCCTTCCCCAGGCACATGCTGCCCTCGTGAGTACCTGTGTGGCTCCTCATGTGGATTTTCAGCCGACATGCTTTGTCATATTGCTTGTTACAGCCTGGGAACGAGCAGGAGAACTGTTCCTGCTCCCTGAAGTGGGCCCGATTATGGGAGAACAGGGCGCTCACTGTGATAAACGTCCTTTCACAGCCTAGGGAGAGACAGGAAACAAACATGCACCAGGTTGGTATGCAAATGAGCCAGGAAGGATGCTTTCCTACAATTGTTAAGGTCGGAAAAGCTCTTTAAAATTGATTCTAATTGTCAACCCACAACCACCATGCCAACAACCACATGCCTCAGTGCCACATCTCCATGGCTCCCAAACACCTCCAGGGACAGTGACTCCACCACTCCCTGGACAGCAGTGCCAGTGCCTCATCACTCTGAGAAGAAAGTTTTCCTAATAGCCCTCAATATTATATCCAGACCCAGAAGAGACAAACAGGGGTTACAGTTACTCGCCCAAAGCAGGCAACCTAAGCCTGTGTAAGGTGCACAACCCAAGGCTGGCGCTTCCACTGCTGGCGTTCCACCACCCCGGCACAGCAGCACCCCCCGATCCCAAACCTCCCCCTTGTTAACGAGGGTGTCAAGGAGCGAGGCGTTCCCGGAGGCTCCAAAAGGAGAGGAAAAAGAAGCGGCAAGGAAGCAAAACGAGCATAGCTGGGACCCCGGGCTAACCCGAGGGCGGCCCTACGGGGACGGACGGGACGGGAAAGGCACGGAGCCCCGCGAGCCCGGCTCCGGGCGCGGCTTACCGGGGAAGTCGCAGCGGTAGGGCCGCTCGGGCTCCAGGTGGCTGCGGCGGCGGTGGGCGGCGAGGCGGGCGGCGCTGGGGAAACGCTGCCCGCACGCCTCGCATTTGTGCGCCGCCTCCTGCTCGTGGGCGCGGCTGTGGGCCCGCAGGTTGTAGACGGTGGTGAAGCGCTTGGAGCAGCCGGGCGCGGCGCAGGCGAAGGGCCGCAGTTTGTCGTGCGAGTGCAGGTGCCGCCGCAGCTTGTAGGCCGTGGCGAAGGACCAGGCGCAGCCCGGCACCGGGCAGCCGAACGGCCGCGCCGCCCCCCCAGCCGCCGCCCCGCGGCCGTCCTCCCCTCCGCCTCCGTGCGCCGTCAGGCGGTGCAGCCGCAGCTGCTGCTTGCGGGGAAAGGCCTCCCCGCAGCGCGGCTCGGGGCAGGGGAAGGCCGGCGGGGAGCGCGGCCGCGGGACGCCCGGCGGGGGCTCGGCGGAGGCGGCGGGCGGAGGCGGCGGGGCCGGGGGCGGCGCGGCGCTCGCGGCCTGCTCGACCTGCTCGGCGCCGGGCCCCAACGTCAGCACGCCGTTCTCGATGCGCACCAACAGGCTCTGGTTGTTGATGGTGATGGTCCCCGAGAAGGAGCCGTCCTCCGCGCCGCCGTCCCCGTCGCCGTCGCGGGGCGGCGGGGGAGGAGGAGGCGGAGGAGGCGGCGGCGGCGCCGAGCCGGGGCCTTCCTCGGGCGGCTCCGCGGGCGGAGGGCCGGGCCGGGCGCGCCCCGCTTCCCCGCCGCCCGAGCCGGGCTCGGCGCTGCCGCGCACCACGTTGAGGACGAGCAGCAGCCCGTCGCTGTCGGGCGCGGAGCCCGCCGGCGGAGCGCTGGGGCCGGGAGCCGGACCGGCGCCGGGCTCCGGCTTCTCCTCCACCAGCAGCACCGGGAAGCTCACGTAGAGGCCCGACGCGGCGCTGCTGGCGGCAGAGGAGGAGGCGGCGGCAGAGGCCGCCGGGTCCCAGTCAGGCGGAGGCGGAGGGCGGCCCGGGGTGGCGGGCGGCGCGGCGGGGCCGCCATGTTGGGCGCCGGGCCGGGCCCGGGCCGCCTCCGCGGCGGGCAGCCCCTGCGTTTCCATCTTGGGGGTCCCTGTAGCAGCGGCTGAAACCGGAGCCGGGGGGCGGGGCCTGGCGCGGTCGGCGGGGAAACGCGGAACGGCAGAGCGGAGCGGAGCGGGAGGCGCCGGGGAAACCCGGAGTGCGGAGGAACGGAGCGGGGCTCCGGCGGGAAAGGGCGCTCGGGCCGGGGGATGTAGTGTGGAGAGGGCTTGAGGGGAGCGAAGCTCCTGCTGGGAGCGGGTGGGGCTGCTCGTGCCTCAGGGAGCCTCAGAGCCGGACAGCGCGGGGAGCGAGGGACCGCAGAGGGAAATGAGGTGTGAAGGAGGAAGGGAAGGAGGAAAGAGGGACGGGGAAAGCGTGATGGTAGGAAAGGAGCTCTGGAATCATACTCTGATAGTGGCGTTGGTCGGAATCACGCCCTACACATCTAGCTAAAGAAAGGCAGCTGAGTGCTTGGTTGTTTTATTTTTCATTCTACTTTTCATTCTCATTTTCAGCTCTGTTCCGGCTCTCCAGTCTTAAGCAGAACGAAGAACCAAGCCATCCTTGTGGTGGGAATCAGGCTCCGGCGGTTGTGAGCCCTTCGAGCAGTCCCAGCAGATGGTGCTGTGATCCTTCCAGAGGGCAAATTATTTCCCCAGAGCTATTCTGCATCGAATTTCGGACCGCAAGCAAGGCGAGCTGCTGTCCAGCCGCAGGTGGCTGCGGGGTGCTGATGCTTCCTGCAGTACAACTGTGTGCACACAGCTCCCCCCTGCAGCTGCAGAGCTGTCTGTGCAGCCTCAGCCTCCCCTGAAATCCCCCTGAGCTGCCACAGGGCCTGAGTCAGCCCTGCTTGTGGCTGCTGCCCGTGCTCCAGGTCTCACTGCAGAGGTGTGTGCAGTGCACTCTTCCTTCACTTCCTTCCTTTTTCTAGGAGAAAAATGGCCTTAAGTTGTGCCAGGGGAGGTTCAGGTTGGACGTTAGGGAAACTCTCTCAGAATGAGTGGTGAGGCACTGGCACAGGCTGCACAGGGAGTGGGGAGTCACCATCCCTGGAGGCGGTTCACGAGCTGTGGAGATGTGGCACCGAGGGATGTGGTTATGGGCACAGTGGAAGTGGGTTAGGGTTGGACTTGGGAATCATAATTGTCTTTCCAACCTTAATCAATCTATGAAAATAAAGGCCAGCCTAGGCCTTTAGTGCTCAACCCAGAGGTGCATCCCTGATGGAAGGATGTCAAATCAACCTGCGGCAAGCTTCAAACCTCACTACAGAAATTAATCTCCTCTGTTATCTACTATCTGGTCTGATACAGTGACTGCAGATGTGTGTTTTGAAGGAGACTGCTGTGCCTGTAATGAGTTTTTCCAGCACTGAGGTCATCTGCCTAGAAATGACATCAGCGTCCCCACAGAGTGAGGCAGAACAATTGTCCATTCATAGACCCAGTTTCTCTGCAAACTGCAGAAAAACAAGGACACTCAGAAGAGTTCAAGGAGTTTTTGCCCTGGCCAGGCCTATGGCTTCTGCCTGTTGGAAATCACAAGCTGCTTCATCACAGCAGGGAGTGACAGGTTACTGTTAGCACAGTGCTAAATAACACAAAGGTAAAGAATCCATAATAATATTTCTTCAACATTTTCTGTGGTAGATTTTCAACTCATAATTAAGATGACTATAGAGCAGCTCCATAGTACGTTCCTGTACTTCCATAGTACACAAAGACATTGTATTTTCTGGATGTTCCCTATGACAAACAGTGCCCCAGTTCTTTTGGGCTACAACTAACGTGGTTGTATGAGGTAGAGCTACCAAGATACCACCCCAGTGTGATTATTAATAGGTAATGCCTAACATATGTTAAAGAAAGGCTGTCAAATCTGGCTGGCAACTGCTCACATCTCAGTGCTGTAACTTGTCAATGCGTGCTTTTTTCCACAGTGTAAAGCAATTCTGGTGAACTGCAAAATGCACTTCACAGAAGGTTTGGTTGCAAGCAGATGCCAGCCTCTCACTGCTCATCTGGAGATGTACACTTTATGTGAACAGAGTAAATGACTGACTACTGAAATTTAAAAGAAAAAAAAACAACACACAGCACACCAGGTGTACTGTTTAACTGGCACCAGAAGCAATGTGTGGGTGCAGCAAGCATACACTTGTTAAGTACCAAAATGCCATAGGGTTTTAAAGTTATTTGGTTTCTTGAGACCCCACAGTTCAAATAGTGCAGCTCCTCACTCCCCACCTGCAGCAGCCAGCACAGGTCACCATGAGTAAGCTCCCTGCCTATCGCAGAATCCATCAGTGAGGTACTGTTAACACCATACTATGGGAAGTTGAAGTGCAAAATAAGACATTTCTCTCGGTTGCATCTGGACAGCTAGATTATTATTCTTTAGTTTTATTTCAAGGAAAGGAACTGAAATTTTGTCCCTTACAAGGAGAAATTCCCTATTGCAAATACTCCCCCAAACGTGCTCTTTTAATGGGTTAAAAGGAAAAAAATCTCATGCGGCAGAGAGAATTGCAAGGCTTTTATCATTTGCACATTTTATCATACGTTTCTACCAGGATAACATTGCAGTTGGAATACCACTAACATTTGAGGGCTTGTTCTAAGATGTTCTCATCCACCACTTTTTGAGGAAGAGTCACCTTCAGTGCAGCACTGTCTTTCATTGCTTGGCAGATGGTTTCATACGCGTAGCTGTTACCTGACCAGCAGCGCCTCGCAACCTGTCAGACCAGAAAATCAATGTGTAAAAATTGCCCATTTTCCATACCACGTCCCATTTTGTGCAAATATTGCAAATTGTGCAATTCTGTGCAAATTTTGTGATATTTGTGCAAACACTGGCATCCCATTTCATCACAATAAATCTTTCAACTCTCTGCCAGTTTCTAGTTTCCCTACTGATAGCTTTCTTTTTTAAAGCCTACTTCATTGATACGAGTAGCATTTGGATGGACTTGATGCATTTTCATGCAGAATTGCATTGCTGGACTGATTACAGTGGTAGAGCCAGGTTTATAAACTTCACAGAATTCCCTCTACAAAACACTCCGTACTCCATCCCAGTTCTGTACAACAAGCAGTTGCTTTAGATAACAGTATGATTTTTATAACATGTTTTTTAATTGAATAAATATTTAAAAGGGCAAATTTTACTCAGTGCATTTTCAAAATACGAAATCAAGAGGCCAAATTCTCCGCCAGCATACAAGAGAAGCTCCACAGACAGGGAACTATAAGCCCTTCTGCTTTTTGACCTGTGTGCAAGAAAAGTTTGCCAGATGAAGAAAAACACCGGAAACATAAGGAAGGAGTGCTTCCAAGGAAGCAAGCGCTTCCTTGTGTTCAGTGCCTCACAGTTCTCTGCATTATGAATTGTGTCAATATCTGAAAGATTCGGACACAAAAGTGTTTGAGCAAAAAAATCCCTCAGTTCCAACTTAGCAAAATATTTAAGTATTTGATTAACATAAGCTGGTAAGAAGTTCTCAGGATCATAACAACTAGAAACGACCTCTCAAGTCAACGAGTCAGTTTCCCTGCCACTCACCTGTGATTATTCCTGGCAGTGTATTTCAAGAGTGCACGACAGTTTCTTTTTAGTCTTTTATATAATGGGGTAATGTTCCCAGATTGTCCTTTTTAAATACTTACGTGAAGGAGTAGGGCTTTTGCTTGCAATAAATCAGAGCAACAAGAGATTTATTGGGTTTTTAAAAGGCTGTCTGTGATACACAGTGCTTGCTAAGGGTGTGTCTTCATTAATCTACAAATTAATATCATTGTTCTCCTTCTTCCTCAGTAGTTTAGTAAAGATATTTCAGATCTGAGACAGGGAATACGTTCAAATTATTCCTCCTCCTTTAAAGACACTTAGATCTAGAAGTTAGAAGTTAGTATGGTGTAGTGAAGGTAGTGTAGTATAATGAATTTTGCTTACCCCATTGGAAACATCCCAGCTGAGCATCATCTTAGCTCGCTCTTCAGCCTCCGTGGACCCATCCAAAACCAGGCCAAATCCCCCATTGATCACTTCACCCCTAAAAAAAAAACAAAAAAAACCAGAAATGTAAGAATTCAAATCAAAAGAATGCAAATCAATCCCCCAAAACATTGTGGATTTGTTCAGCTGCACTGGAGGAAGAAGGATGAGAATACTGTAGAAATGGTGCTGAACAACACATTGGCAGTGACCTTTTATACAAAAAATACTCCTGGTGGACTAAGGAGTTACTTATCTCAGTAGTTTGAAGGTTAAGCTCTGTGTTTTCTATGCCAGAGCTTGCCATGTCCATAGGACTGTGAGGACTGTGTGCTTACTGAAGCAGACGGATGGATCTGTTTATATTCTCTTGGGACAAACATGAGCGTTTCATTAAAAAAGTGTTAAGCACCACTTCATGCACATCTGCCTTGATCATTTCAAAAGAATTTATTTCTGTATGAGATACATAGATGTGTAGAAATTGCAGTGCCAACACTTCAGGAAGCAGATTTATTGGTAGAAGAAATATACTACAAACTAACAGGCTGTATGTGGGACAAACAGCAGTCTGGTTTTATAAGGACAGGGGAAATACATCTTGTCTCACTTCAAAATCTGGTCCGCTCAAGTTCCTGTTTGGTTGCGTATGGTAAATTCAGTTGGAAAATCATTGGTTGCTGTAAATCTGTAAGAGACTTCTTGCATTATAACTCAGCATCAGCAGTGTATGAGATGGGGCATATCCTACCTACAACAATACATGGCAGGAGAGACTAAAAGAGGTCCTGGAGGCAGGGTCTCACCCTCTGCATTTTGTACTTAATATAATGAATACATCCACAAAATTTACAAGTGACATCAGATATACCTATGAGTCAGACAGAATTAGGTGTCCTCCAATCCAGACAAGAATAATTTCTTACTGTCTGTTTTCCAGCACTAACTGGAACTTCTTAGGAAATGGGAAAATGATGCTGCACTGGAGCCTCACAGACTTGAGATCTGCTTCCTGAACCCAGCACTCATGTCTTCCCCT